CACACACACACACACACACACACACACACACACACACACACACACACCAGGCTTTATAGGACACAATCCTTTGATTATCTGGTTTCTAGCAAGTTGCCATATTTATCAGATTGTCAGTTTTGTTTTATTCTGCCGACACAAGATAAATCCTATTATGTGTACTTGCTTGGTTTTGTTTTGTTATTTTGGAAACACACTGAGACAAGCTCAGGCCTATTAAATACAATTTACTGACATGACAACATAGAACGAAGATAGCTATGTGGCATCACGGTGGAAGAGTGTTAGATTTTTCTTAATTCCACTAAAGTGCCTCTTGAAACTCTTATCATTTAAAATGGTGTATAATGCACTCCGCTGTGATGGCATTGCAGGAGCCAGAGACGCAGAGGACAGAAAACAAAGACATTGTCTTTAAGTCAAGGAACAATAGCAACATGCTGACTTCTAATTCCTTTTGAGGAAAAGAGAAGAATACTTTCTGAACTCCATCTTCTAATAATTCAAAGTTTTTTTTTTTAAACCGTATGCCAAAACACGTTTGTTTTTCCTACCCTTTCAGAAAATTGAAATAAATGCGATAATATGAAATTCATTATGTAAGTCCTGAATTTTAAAAGCAATGTTTGACCTTAACATTAGTTCACATGAAAGGTGTTCAGGAAAATGTTCCTTTTTTTCCAAAAAAAATTTAAAAAAAGGAAATTAAAAAAAAATTTCCTCTTGATAAAGAGAGGCCTCAGGGCTGAAACTCCACATTGAAATAAATATTGGTTTTGTCTTCATACTGTGCTGGTGTGTGGAAAGTTGATTTTGACAAATCACCAGATTATGAAAGTTTTCATTCACAGATAAAATTTTTAAGTTGTGTTTCTATGAAATTTTTTAAGGAAAAAGTGCCATTAATTTAAACACGGGAAGAGAAATTCATTACTTAGCTCCTCAGAGTTTCTTATAAACTAATGATTTTTTTTGTCAACTAAGATAATAAAATGCATATCAAATAATACAGGATGGATTTATAACATGTCTAAAAATATTTATTATATATTACTAAACAAATGAAAAATCAGGGATTTCAGAAAAATCAAACCAGTTACTAATTACTAAAATAAACACAAATGCAAAATCCGGCAGTTGATTTATTTATTGAATTAACATGGACTTCAACTTCATAAATATTATTATTATATTAGATCTCACAGTTGCTGCTTCATGCGATCATCTACAATAATTCCACTATAAATGATTCCATACAACTCCTGTGCTCTGTAAATAAATCTTACTTTTTAATTTGATGCAGATTTCTGAGAACTGTTAGATTTTGTAAGCCTACAAGTAAACTACACTCATATACTTTACTCTCCAGTGAACTGTACACTATCTAGAAATGCACTTAACAAAACAGATAACTATGAAGTGATAATATATTTTCTTAATAATATAATTATACAAGTGACTACTGAACTATTGAGACTATCTATAGGAAAAAATAAAGGTTGCTTAAAAGATCCATCCTGAAAATGTGGTCAATACCTAGCTGTATTTATGAAATATTTATGAATATATTTATATTTGCAAAATTGCAAAAGAATTCACACATGGGAAAAATGGGTAGAAATATGGATAGTATAGGCAAATTATAGTCAGTCCTATTCATTCTTAAGGCTTACTTCAAATATATGTAAGTGATAATTATGAGGTGGCAATTTGGCTGTTTGCATTTGCAGTTCACATCCCTGTTTTGGTGCCACAGAGTTGCACACTTTCCTTGTTTCCCCAAACAGGAACAATTACTGACCTTCTTCCTCTCAGCACCCAGATTTTGCTTGTGTCTCATCTCTGGGAACCACATTAGAATATTCATGTAGTGTAATAATTCGCAGCATGATATGCTTTGGGAAATATTTATGTAATTTTTAAAAACCTGGCAATGTTATAACCATACTGGAAGAAAAAGTGAAGGCAACTTCTGGGTTTGTCCTAGCAACACGATTTATTATGCAGTGATGTATGACCCCTTGAAGAAGGTTAATATGCAAAATCACTTCCAGCTGACATGATTCTTCTCAGGAGCTACTGCATTTTGTATCTTGCTCTAACTGCTCTGCATGTAGTCATATATAGGAAGCGATGATGGTACAAAGAAAACTTGGGAAAGGCAGGTCATTGCAAACCCCATGACTGAGATGCTAAGCAAAAAGGTGAAATTGGTGAGTCTTGCTTTTACCAAACTAATAAGCTTTTGTTCTGTACTTCTATCTTTTATTTTTGCTACACCACTGCAGTAGGTTGTTAAAGCTGCCATGACAAAATACCACAGACTGGGTGGCTTAAACAACAGAAATTTATTTCCCTTGTGGTTCTGGAAGCTAGAAGTCCAAGATCAAGGTGTCAGAAGAGTTGGTTTCTTCTAAAGGACTCTCTCCTTGGCTTGTAAATTTTCTTTCTCCTTGGCTTGGCCACTTTCTGTGTCTTCATATGGTCTTCCCTCTGTGCTAATTCCTCTTCTTCTAAAGGCACCAGTCATACTGAGCCCACTCACATGACCTCTTTTAAACTTAATTAACTCTTGAATGCCCTATCTTTAAACACAGGCATATTATGAGGTACTGGTGATTAGGACTTCAAAATATCAATTTTAGGGGGACCCAATTCAGCCCCTAACAGCCACACAGATATTAACAGCAAATTAAAATATATACATATATATGTGTATATGTATATGTATATGTATATGATTTACAACAAACGAACAAAGAAATGTGAAAAGAAATAACTTCAAATGGAAATAATTTCAGGGACAGTAGGAAATCAGAGGAGTGATATGGTGAAAAGAGGTCTTTCAGTGCTCATAAATTGGAATTATTATGGGTTATCTTTTAGACTATTTGAAACTTACAAAATCTTTTTCAATTTTTTAAATTTTTAAATCTTTTTTAATTTTTTAAAATTTTTAATAAACAGTCCCTGGCCTTCATTCAGGAATTAAACAATATTTAAAAAGGCTTAGAATTTACATGGGGAATTTTGGTTATTAATAACAATCATACAACACTTCTTAATTATGTTACAGATTTACCTTTGCAGAAATATATATGTACATATTATATGTAACATATGGATGTAATATATATAAATATATTAAATGCAACGTTTGTGCTCAAAAAAGTATTAGATCAATACATAAGAGTGAAACAGTGTAATATACTAAAAATAATTTAAAATTGCTTTTGTAGCAAATTCTGTCACTAATTGGAAATGTACTATGGGGCAAGTACCTTTGCCTCCATGGTCTATTCTCTTTGGAAAATTAATTTGTTGCCCTTGGTGTTATCTAAGTTTCTTCTGTAATATCTTGATGCTTAAGTTCTAGCTACAATTACATGAAGTCTATCAAATCATTTGCATATTGATTACATAAAATTATGAGAATCATAGAGATCTTCAAGATAAAATTAAAAATCTTTGAACTATGGATTTGACTAATTATGCATTGGCTCACCAGGTACCACATATGGAGAACAGGCAAATATTTCTTAAGTCATAGTTGTCAAAATTCTTCAGCAAAACAATGGTAGAATGCATAGAAAGAGAAAGATCCTGAGCCAAAGAGGAAAAACAAGTGATGGGAAGAAAAGATTAGAAGGGTGTGTCTGTCATTCCTTGTCTTTAAGAGGAGGATATTATACAAATCCTTGAAAAGGTTTAGTGACTAATGTATTAAAATGGGAATTTTTAAAAGCAGGTATAAAAAGGTAGGCATATTTGAAGTGGGCCCCAAACTATGACTAGGTGTGAAAAGAGTTACTAAGATGTCAGTAACAACATCAGCCTGCTTCCTAAGAAAAAAAGGAGAAGGGAAGGAGATAATTTTACAACCCCATGTTTGAAAACTTCTCTTCCTCCTCCCCTAATTCATAGTTTAGCTAGCTACACAATTCTCATTTGGATTTTCTTTTTTTTTTTGGAGGTGTTTTCTATCATACTCTGGCATCCAACCCAGCTGATGAAATAAAGGGATGAATGTACCACTCCTTCCTTTTATGTGATATGAATTTTTTCATGATGATATTCAGACTTTTTCTTATCTTTTGTGTTATGAAATTTCACACTAATGTATCAAGATGAGTCTTTTATCATTCTTAGGACTATACACCCAGGTGTCCTTTCAAGATGGAGCCTCAGATTCTTCAGTTCTGGGAGATTTTTTGTATTTATTCTCTGATGGGTTCCAACCCTGTGTTTTCCTGTTCACTCTTTGTGGGATTTTTAATAATTGGTTTGATGTCCTGGGTTTAAGAATTAATCACATTATCTTTTAACTGTCACTATCTTATATTTTATCTTGTTTTCATGATTACCTTTTCATCTCTGTCTTCCAGTTCTTTTGGGTTTTTTTTTTGTCTTCCTGTTCTATTGATAAACTTTCCAGTGATATTTTTTTCTGATTTCAGGATCTTAGTCATGTTGTGTTGTTCTGTTCTGTCACCTTCCTGTTACTCTGCTCTTGTTTTTAGATAATTTGTTTCTTTACTCCGATAATGTTAATTTTCACCCTTTTAAATAACTTTTTTCCCCTCCGTAATGGTTGTATCAAATAGAGTAGGGGAAAGAGAGATATAGACATTCCTTTTAGTTAATTCTATTTTGATTCATGTCTCATTCTAGTTCTCTGCCATATTTGATATGTCCTAGTCCTAACACATTCCAGGACTATGATGAGAAGACAAGTTCTCTACTGTGCTGCAACGCTGGTTCTCTGGTCTGCAATTTTATACCTAGTTTCATTCATCACCATTCCATTAGTCTTCCAATAGTTTACCCAAAATCCTGGCCTGCTAATAGGCAATATGCCATTTCTCTTTTGTTGTGGGGATGCAGACATACAAACACACACAAATAAATATACATGCACATATGTATAATTTAGAAATATTTTTCTAT